AAAGAGTCTTCTGAGTACTTGCATGATTTGCTCCATGTCGGTACAGAAGGGGAGCCAGCAGACAGCAAAGGAAGCCACCACTGTCCCTACTATCTTAGCTAACAAAACCAACCTGCAGTTGAGAGAGAAAAGCTTGCATCAGAAAAGGCAAATCTAAAACCCAAATAAAAGGCAGCTCTTACAAGTTTATAGCATAAGGTGTTTCTGTTTTGGTTTTGTTTTAAAGAGATATAAAACTGAAGGTAACAAATCTAAGCAAAATGAGCTTCCAGTAGCACAGAAAAGTTGGTTATCCCCAGATCAATGCCAACACCTCCATGAGAAGCACAGAGCTACTGCTGTCAGCCTGATCTGGTTGCCCCCTGCAGCCCATGTTTAATTTAGCCTGCAGAAGGAAGAGTGCCAAGGCAGGACACCTTAACACATTCTGCTGTTTGTTCAGTGCAAATAACTGTAGACCTCAACAAGAAAGGTTTATTTTGCAGGAGAGGAAAACATTACAACAACATAAAGATCTTCCACTAGAAATTAATTAAGAAATGCCCACATGCAAATAAGGAGACTCCCATTCTCAATGTCAGGCTGCCTGGGTGTTTTCCTGAGGAAGATGAAACAGTCTGAAGTCACTTACCCCTTTCCTTTCAGTCCCTTCTTGAAGCACTTTCCAAGTAAATAGCAAAAGAAGGGCAGAGAATGGTAGAGTTCCATTTGCTTGTAATTTAAGGCCAAGCAAAATGCCACTGACCCCAAAAGGTCCCAGTCATAAGACAAAAAAAGTACACCCCACAAGGCAAAGCCAAGGCTCACTGAGTTGTATATGTTTTTTTATGTCAAGGACAAGACACACCTTGGTACTGGGGGTCAGTAACTGATGCTCTGAGGGACAAGTGTAAAGCAGCATGCAAAATAAGCTTTTCCAAGTTGGTTTTAAAAACACATTGCCAGTTGTGACTGTTGTTCAGAGATAGAAATAATTTTGCTTCTATTTAAAGGGTAATTGTTGTATTTCCAAGGCTTGATTCCAAGCTTGCAAATGTATAAATGAGGACAAATCGTGCATGTCTGTGTTAATTATACATGTAATGTATGTTTCAGGCAACCAAGCTTTTGGTGACAGTGACACTACTTGCCAAGAGCATGAGGGTAAATATTTTGCACTTGGTATTTACATGATTAAGGATAAAGCTTTCAAGAGTCTATCCTCCAGCTCCCAATAGATATGTGCAGAATACTAAAATAGAGCAGTATTTAAATTATATATTATTTAGTTCAAGGATTCCTGAGGTTTTTGTGATTGTATTATGCTGGCAATGCACCCTCATCCATGACCACTTCCCTTAGCTGCTAATACAGAACAAACAATGAATAATAGTTACTAAAATAAATGTTACTTCCTTATGACTTTGAGAACAGGCTCCAAGCTTAGCAGAGTTTGAAGAGACTAAACTACACTTACTACTATAATGCAACATTAGCTTTGTCTTTCCCTGTTATTTTTACACAATGACAGAAACCAGACAAGACATACTTGCACTGTCAGAAATTTAACAATTTTGTTTTCTCTTTGTCAATATAAATAAATATGATAACCCACTCAGACTGTGGATGTTGTTTTCAGTCCACTCAGATTTCCCACTCAAAATCATCCTATATATTTGAAATCTCATCAAGAAGGTTATGCCAAAAGGCTGTGATCCTGCAGAGATCTGCAGCAGTTAAGTGACATACTTGCACTGTCAGAAATTTAACAATTTTGTTTTCTCTTTGTCAATATAAATAAATATGATAACCCACTCAGACTGTGGATGTTGTTTTCAGTCCACTCAGATTTCCCACTCAAAATCATCCTATATATTTGAAATCTCATCAAGAAGGTTATACCAAAAGGCTGTAATCCTGCAGAGATCTGCAGCAGTTAAGTAAATCTACTGACATATTGGGAGCTGGTCACAACAAGTGAAGTTGCTTATGTAAGAATCACAGGGCTGGGAGACCACAGGAGACTGTGCAGAACATGTCTGCTTCAACAGTGTCTGCTGCACCTGTGTCACTCCTGACACAAGGTTTCCTGAACCTTGTCTTAAAGATCTTGACACTGAAGATTCCACAACATCCACAGACAATCTATTCCAGCATTTCAGTCATTAAGGTTCAAAAGATATTTATATATATCTAAAAAAACCAAAGATTCCCTACGGTAACCTGGGCCCATTACTTCTTGCTCTGCCTAAGGTAAGAGACACAGAACAGGTTCTTGTCCTCCTCTCGGTACATCTTGTAGGTACTAGAAAATTGTAACCCTGTGCTGCCTTCTGACCACCAGCTTCTCTCACCCAAGATGAATTGCATTCATTCGCATCCCTGTTCTTGTAAGTGATGACTGCAGATGATCTACATCTTTAGAGTCAGGCCAAAAATAGAATGTCAGAATTCCCGAACTGTAACTCAAATATTCAATAGCATTATGAACTTCTTTCCTTCAAAATCTGCTTTCTAAGACAGATCATCCTCCAAGTTCACCGTGCACTTTGTTGGAAGAAAACCACAAATTAGTAAACTATTTGATTGTCAAAACTTGACTGAGTAGTAGATGCTGAGACTCAGCATCTCCTTGGAATATTTCAATATCTACATTTTGCACAACTCCAGGGTTGTGCCGCTCTGGCTGGATGACATTGAGATGCACAGCCTGGAAAAGTTAACAAACAGCATTGGCTGATGTGCAAAATGAGTATAAAAACAGAAATCTTATTTTAAAAGACCCACCTGTGAAGGTGTCTGCCACCAACACTGACTAGTTAGCTCTGACAGCCTAGCTCGTATTAGCTGCTTTAACTGGTTAGGCTGTAAACAGACCCAGTCTCGAGTACTGGTAAAGGCAAGACAGAATGGCACATTTCAGAGATCTGAACATTTTACACAACTGCACCTGACACACTCCTCTGCCATCTCTCCAAACACAAACCAGAGGAGCACAAGCCATCATTCTCTTCACTGCCAGAGCACCACTGACGTTTCCTGCCGTAAAGTGACTGACAGGAACATGAGCTCGAGGCACAGAAAGACCGACGTTCACTTTTGGATTGATTTGTCCCAATATCAACTCCCTATCTTCAACATATTTCAGCCTTAGTTTTCTTCAACACAGCTGCTTTGGGCAAGCAGAAGCCACTCAGATAACTCTGTACACAGAAGTAACCTCTGCCCAGCTAAAGGCAAGTGCTTAAAAACAGTATTACTTTGTAAATGGAAATTCATTTCATTGCACAACAAGGATACTGGAAGTGTCCGTGGTCAATAAGAATGAGGCCTGGGTAAAGCAGTATGCAGAGGGCACTGGAAACCTGGAAAGAAGGATGGAAAAAAGAAAAAAAAGAGAGGAAAATTATTACTTCTAAGTTAGACATCAGACAGGAATTTATACCACTTCTCCAAACAGAACTCTGCCCCTCCACAGTGTGTCCTAGATGTAGGAATCTTCTCTGCAAGTAATTGTCTGTCAGTAGTGTTTTGAGGAATAAAAAAGGATAAAGATTTTCCATAAAGAAGAAAATATTGAATGGAGACCAGCCTGCCCTTTGCCAGCCTGCTCAAAAATTACCCACACCCATCTTAGACCTTTGAACCACCCCAAAAATCAGAAGGCTTATTATTCCAAAATGTATTAGTTCCACCATAAGGAGTGTGTAGGACAAAGCAGTTCCTAGACACCCCCACAGCACAGTTCAAATCCTGGTTTTACTACCCAAGTAATAAATTCAGAAAGAAATATAACTCAGGAGTTCATGGCTACTAAACTTCAGAGTTTTTGTTACTGTTACAGTGTTATTGTTATTGAAAGCATTAAAATAATTGCTGTATGATAAGTTAATGGTGTAGTTTTTGTTTTTTTAACTGAAAAGCCTTTAATATGAGATATAAAAACTGTCATCAGTTTCACATCAATTGAGGCCATTGTCATGCTCTATATTTTAATTAACTCTCTTAGTGCTACATTTCTACCCTGTTTTAACAGTATGTTTTCTTTGCTTTTTAATTAACACACACACACACCAGATACTTGCCTTCTTTTTAGTAGAGGTTTCCTTCAAGGAAAAACAATATAAAATAACTGCAGGAATGTAAACCAGCAAATCAGCAGCAAACACTGAAAAATAAAGATGAACTTTATATTAGAAACTTCCCAGTTATCTCAACTTAATGCTACTCTAGTTGTGTATTTTCATCTGAATCGTGAATCTTTGACTCTGCTTACGGTTTTAACTTCCTAATGATCCATAGCTTGGTTGTATTTGGTGTAAAAACACCTGATATAAAAATAACTGCACAGTGCTGAAGTGAGACTAGTTGCCTGCCTTTGGATGGTGGGGTTTTTGCTTCTGTATCCTCACCGAAAACTTCCCTTTAGTCATTCAATTCCACTGAAGTTCAAAAGTCCTGGATCTATAGTTCCAGCTGCATATGCTATTCTATTGTCTTTGTGTTACAGTATGTTTCATTGTTTTAAAGACAGCTCAAGTTTGGCAGTTACACCAAAGCTTTTTTTTTTCCCCACTTGTTTTTGGTAAGACAAGGAAAAAATATAGGCAAATAGACATCAAAAGAGCAGAAAGCCCTGTTAGAATAAACTGAGTAGTTCCACTTCAAAGGACAAAAAGAAACAGGTCTACAGAATTTGATCTTGTTAATGTTTCTAATGCTGCAATTTCTGATGTCCAAAAGCTGCTGCTTCCACATGTTCAGCTGTTTTGGCTGCTGGCACAGCCTCAGTCAACAAGGGAGCACACTCTAGTTCCTCACATGCCAAAAGGAGAGGAGGCATTCTGCATTCTCCAAAGAAATCAACTACCACTAGATGCAGTCAAGTGGTTTGATGGGACAGATAGTCTGAAGACACAAAAAGTTAAGAAACTTTGGATGATAACAATCTCCCATGTCTCTGTCTGAATTAAATCACGTGGATAAATAGACTAAAACTAGTTATTTGGCTGTGATCAGCTGCCTACAGCAAATATATGCAAGAAGGGTGACAAGAAAATAGAATCAGTAGGTCCACTTGCCTAGAATTATATCAATTCCTGCTCATGTTTAAACCACCAGGTAAATTCTTCAGTGCTGTCTTAAGAGCCTGAGAAAAACCTCAGATTATTTGTACAAACCAGTTGCAGAAAAATGTGCAATTATTTCAAGGGGGAAAGAATGTATTTCAGACACAATTAAACAAATATATCCAAGGCTTTAGCAAAACAAATACACTGACAAAATGAAGGTGTAATACCAACAGCTGACATTGACCCTGCTGAGTTATTTTAATGCACTCTTCTAATGGCTACTGTTAAAAAGCTTTTCTCAGTTCTTCTAGATCCATCAGTGGTTTGTCAAGTGAGTTGATTTCAAAATTAATAAAGACCATTTCAAGGGTAATTAAGTTCTAGTGATTTTTATTTTTTTTTCTCAATTCAATCAATTACTAGAGAGCAGACTCAGAGGTTTGTGAAGTACAAAAAAAGCTACTGATGAGCAACAAATTCTGCCACTGCAATCAGAAAGCATTTTGTGGAACTCTAATGTTAAACAAAGCAAAAGACTGATTTCAAATTAAGGAAAATAGTAACAGAAAAATAAGGCAACTGCTATTGCTTAGAGAACAAGAGCTCACTGGGCACATTGTGGTCCTACTAATACAGCTACAGAATTAAGTTATCTACTTTTTCTTTCTGCACTTATTTTAGCCTTTTCTTTGTAGGGACAATTCAAACTAATCAAATGGTCAGAAGAGTGACTGCAGGAAAATGAAATTTAGGATAAAAGTGGTAAAATACATTTCTACTTTTTTGTTAGCAGAAGTTACAGCAGTGACCATTGGTGAGAAAACTGACATCTTTAAAAATATCAAATATATCCCTCTTTCAGATAAAGTATAACACCTTATAATTAAGATCTGAGACCCCACGAGGCTGCTGAGTGAAGTCAGTGAAAACAATACTATTTACACAATTAAAAACTGGGTCTAAGCTACAAAAAAAAAAAAAAAAAAAAAAAGTAGAGCTTTTACTGAACCAAATTAGGTGAAAACTTGTTCATTTTATATTTATCAGGTCCACAAATGATTACAGAAAAAAGAACAGGGGAGCCTGGTTCATAACCAGACCTGCAAAGCCAAAGAACTGAGCATGAACTGGGGAAGCTGCATGATATTAAACATGCTAAATTAGCAAGTGAGCCCAATCTGTGGGATCATCCCAAGGAAATATGATTTTCCTACCTGTTGTGCGCATAAATAACTTATGTGGCTGACTCTCATACCCCCGAGATGTGTGCAGAGCAATCCAATCAGGATTTATTAACTTTGCACTGTAAAACAAAGTACAGACACATCAAAATGTAGACAGTTCTCATTTCCCTTTACACTCCCTTCAGCAATAAAGATGACACGCTCAGGAGCATATTCCAAGAAAGAAGATGAATGAGAAGAAATATTTCAAAGAGCAATAGTGATCAATGGAAGATTTTCCTCACCTCTGGATCAGTTTTGCACTGTAGACTTTAGCTGCTATTTCACAATTTTAAAAAAAATCATCTTTGGAAATGGTAACAATGGAATACAGTATTTATTAGGACAAGATAGCCACCTTCAGTCTTGTTCCAATGACTTTTAAAAAAACAATTGTAAATACCTTTCATACTTAAGTATTAAATATAAACCATTTACAGTTCACATAGATGCCCCACATAGCTGTGCCTGTGCACTTTAACCTACATTCTTATTCCATAAGTCTCATTCCAACACTAGTGAAGCCCTTGTGGAAAAAGTATTCCAATAACAGAATTCTATTTACATGATATCCAGTCATCAAATGTCACTGGAGCTCTCAATACAAGAGAGGTTTCCCAAGAGATGCACCCAATTCCTATGGCACTCTTCTCTGTGCATCACTGATCCAACGTGACAGAAAAATAGCAGCATTAGTTTTAAGCAACAGGGATACCCATAAAATCTGTTTCCCTAGCTCTAAAGTAGCAAACAGTATTTTTAATTTCATCAGCTGCACCAAATTGGTCATTTTTAGCTACTAGTTTCCTCTAGAAAGCAAATTTTAAATAAAAAAGAAAAAAAAAAGGGGGGTGAATTTGCTGTTTATATTCTCCACAGAAGTATTTAAAATAATGGACTTACATGTAAGCACAAAGAAAACTGTGATAGGCAGTCAGAGGTGGATAATCAAGGCCCCAGTACAGTAGGTTGTTATCACTTGTATTGAAGTACCTAAAAAAAAAAAAGCCCTGAAGAAGAATCTACATTTCCAGCTTCGTTTCAGCCCAAGGAAAAGGCTGAATATTAAACCAAATGTTTTAGCAATGCATTCAAAATCCAAAAGGCAGTTAGCAACTTCTAGGTCTGCTTTATTTTACTTTAAAAAAAAAAAATTAAAAATCAAGCAACAAAACAAAAGCACTACATACCACTGCCTGATGGGTAAATTGTAAGTAACTTCTTGCCAGTGTCTCTGAGCTTCATAGTCTCCATACATAGGTGGCTTTCCTGCACCTAAAAAGAGATGACAGGCTATTTACAATTGTATTTGGTTTACAACAGGTTGCTTCTTCTCCAGACATGTATTTGCATATTAGTATAATACTAATTTTATTATTCATTCCTCTATTATATTTGAGAACAAAATAAAGACCTCATCTGCTATGCAGGCTAACAGGGAGGAAGCAAAAAAGTTCCATGTTCTTTTCGGCTTTCTGGATATTTCTGCAATAAGCATTTATCAAGACAGTCCACTGTGAAGAATTGCTTCCTCATCTGACAAAAAAAAATAATTTCCAAGTGTAGATGAAAAATGTGGCACTTTCTCTGAAGTAAGAAAATGTACATAACTGAGATCTTACACTGATTTTGCATGAACTACTTCACTTTCTAGCATATAATAACGGACAATGTTCTCACTTGTGTTGCAGCCATGTGATGGTACCTTGCTATTAAAAGTAATAACCAGCCTTAGTTTTAAATTTACTTAGAACTAGGACCTGCTACATGTCCCCAGTTCTCTCCTCTTCCTGTTGCCTGCCTTGCAACACTAGCAGGAACACTGCATATCTGTCCCTTTCCCCAGGCTTCTCAAGGAAGAGCTAAGATGAGCCACTTCCTAAATCAGACCATTCACTACACAGAATATGTTTAGAAACAAAAAAAATTATTACAATCTACAGAACTTTCTAAGTAATAACTGCTCCATTTTGGTTTACAGGAATTCTCTCTCACACATTTTTCAACTGAATGATTGTTTTGCAGAAGTTGTGCCAAGTGCTAAAGGACACTTTTCACTTTACACAGTTCTCCTAGGATACAAAGATTTATTTTTTTCGATGGAAAAGCTTTATCAATGTAAATACTTAAGACTTCTACTCATAAACAATTCTCTCAACATAAGCTAACTCTGATAATAGCAGCACAGTAAGCATCTTTGTCACAGTTTACTTACTTCTACTAACCCATGGTTGCCGAAAACAAAAACAGAAACTGGACTTGCAGTACTTCCAGCAAAATACTGACACTAGTAAGTCTGAGACCTCAAAGTTTATTTAAAATATAGGAAAGTCATATTTTCTTTTTTCCTTTTTTTTCTTACATGCTCTATGTTTGTAGGAGTCACACAAGCTCACATATGCACTACTGAAACACAAAAATAGGTGTTACCCAAATTTCAGAGTGTATGTGTGTTGGTGTGTATATACACACATATAAACACATTTTTTTCAGCTTCTCCCCCTCAAAAGAGAAAAATAAATTAATTGGCTTGAGAATGATCAAATGAGTTCTTAATCCAAAGGTGTGATTACCTTTGCATCAGTCTCAAATACAGAGACTGATCACACATCAGTTAGTTTTTGTATGCATATTTGCAAATTTAGCTTCCAAGCGTCAAGTACACAAGCAAAGACAACTCAGGATTAATAAAACTGAGTATTTTAAAGTGTCTCAAATATTTTAAACTTAGAGTGGTCTTATTTGGTTTTATTGTTAGTGGAAATAGTCAATTTTCAAGGGTCTGAAGCTGCCTTTCAACACACGTATTTGGCTTCTACTCATTTAGCAGGAGTTTGGAAATGCATTTTAAAAAAAATGGATTAATCTATGAAGCCAAAGTTTTCCTCAATAATTCTCCAAGACCAGATAATCTAAGATAATAAATGGCATCCAGTTACCTGCTTCCTCAGCATCCTGACCCAAATTCCAGAGGCAGATCCAAAAGCATGGCAGCAAGGTGGCAAGCAACAATAGAATGGAAACACTGCAGCCACCCAAGGATACAGAGTAGATGAGGGCAGAATTAGCCACCCTGCTCCTGGCCATTCAGGCCATGGGTAGCTTCAGGGTGTGCCCAAGCAGCATTTCCACCAGGGTCTGCTGCAGGGAACAATGACTACTACTAATCCTTTGCTCAGTTTTATTACACTGAGCAGCAGTGAAAGCAAACACCAGAACCACGTCAGTTTAAACATTACCCTGCCTAATTTTTTTTCTTCCTCCAGTCATTGAAGGTTTACTGTATCTGAAATAATTCAAAGAGAAATTTTAAAAGTTCAGTGTACTTATGCATTTGACAGGTTTTTTCTAACATTCAGGTTTGTCTTTTTTTTAGTCAGCCAATGCTCAAAGTTAAGCAAATGCTTTAATAACATGCTGGATTGCATCAGACTCAGCTTTTCCTATTCCAAAAAAAAAACCACTACAATTATTGTATAGGAAACAAGACTTCAAAAAAAAAATTATTATTTTACTTTACATATTTTTTTTAAGGCTGCCTTTCAGAATCTTGATTGGTTTGAAACTGAATCAACTTCAAAAAAAATCTAGTTAGTAACACTACTGTAGATTCTTGCAGTGCAACAGAAATTCAGTGCTGTGTGGCCAAAGACCAGGTGTTTGGTTTTCTGCCTATATACGGGTAAAAGAAAGCCTCAGTTGCCTACAGAACAGATCTCTTGTGATAGCATTTTCAGAAAGCAAATTCAAAACAAAACAACTGTGTAAGAAGGCATGTATGCAACTTGCCTTCAAGATTAAAGTTACCAGCTTAATAATCACTACAGTACTACTGAACAGATCCAGAGACTCAGGGGATGAGGAACCCAATTGCCTTAACAGAAAACCAGAGTTGAATTTGACTGAGCTTGTGATTCTTTTAGCTCATGGGGATTGAAAGTAATATTTTGGGGTTTTAAAACACTCTGCAGAAAGCAAGCTTTGTGCAAGCTTATGCTAAGTGTGGGAATGACACTGAAAGGTTTGGAAAAAAACTTGCTGGTTCTTTGCAAGCACTATGAGATGGGGAGGAGAAAAACTAATCTATTAAAAGAATATAGCTCTAGTTCATGCAGTAAACAATCTTCAGGAAGTACAGCTACCAGGCAGGGTGTAATCCCTCATGTTACCTTTACACCATCTTCATTATCACCAGTACAGTTTTGTCTAAATATAAATTAAGGCTGTACCTGTTCTAGAACTAAAAGGACAAAATTAAACAAAGGTACAACTGGGCTGCAATTATATTCTGCAGCTACTGAAATAACAAGGCACAGGGATGAAGAGCCACCCTGGCTCCACCTAAAGCTTTACTGACCATCATCCCACCCACTCAAAAAAAAAAAAGCACAAACAAACCACAACAATTTGTGGCTGTTTTTTTCAGCATTTTGTTCCAAGCAGCTGTGATGTTAAACATTCACATTCAGAAATATAAGAACAAGGTATTACACGAATCTTAAGGGAAAAAAGGCACTAAAACACAATACATGAAATAACATATTGTTTCCTGTTTACATGCAAGTTTATGTCATTTATCACAAGCTCCATAGCTCATCTTCATGTGGCTGCTTCTCAGACTGTGAACAGGTATTACCTGAGTAAGAACCAAGCGAAACAGCCCAGCGAACAGTAAGTGCCAGTAAGACAGTAATTGTCATTAAGCTCCACTTCTCCATAGCCGGTCCCTGTAACAAGCCAGAAGGTACCTGAGAAAACACCACCAACATTGCTACAACAGTGTCCGTGTTTCTGTTCCTTAGCCATTTAACGACTCTACCGATAGCCCCGCTTTCTCCCCACCCAGAAACATTCAGTTACTACCCGGCCTCTGGATGCAGGCAGCAATCAGGAGGGAGGGGTTTTCCGTACAGGAGAACTCCTAACCATGAAGCCAAAGGCTGCCCAGAAGCAGTTCTCCCACTCCTGAGCTAGAAGCTGAAAACGCATCTGACAAAATGCAGAAAAACAGCTAAAAGCCCACCATAAACTCCATATGCTCTAATTCCACAGGAACACAGCCAGAAGCATCAAAGAAAAATGCAATGCATACGTCTGACCTAGGAAAGCAAACACCTGGCATTAATGATTAAAAAAATCCCTGACCTGAATCTTACTTCAGACTCCCTGATATTCAAAAACAGGCCCAGAATGATTCCTCTGCCTTCCCGAGCACAAGCACATTGTGTATCAGCTGCCTCTCCCTAGAGGATATAACAGATGAAACCCACCAGGCTCAAGAGACCTTCTCTATTCTTCTGCCCAAAAAGGCAGGAGGACTCATCTCCCACCAAGCCTGCCTGACCATACCAAGGATCCAGCAACAATCAGAAACACTGCTGGACCTGTCAAATTGAAGGCCACCTGCAACAAGCTCAGAAATCAAGAAACAGGAAAGCAACAGTGTCACCCCATGCAAAGAAACCCTAACTATAGAATATGAAAACTGACCCAGAGGATCAAAAATATTTCTGTCTGAATTAGAAAAAAAACAGAAGAAACTACACCAATTTTGAGAGTGAGAGACAGCAGGAAATCCAGAGGCTGTACTTCTGCCACATCAGCAGCAGCAGCATCCTTCCCTCCTCAGTCAGCAGGTACACTACTCATGAGTGGATGAGTCTGGGTACAACTGACAAAGACTTCTCTTGCATAAGAGGCATCATCCAATTCACCTGAGGTTAATACACCTGCCACTGCCACCAAAAAAAAAACAAACAACAGCAAACAAAAATATCTCAGACAAAACTCAAACAAAAATATCAGCAGTACTGAACTGTTGTTTTCATAACAGACAAGCAACGTGTAAGACAAATTTAAGTGATGCTGCTGAAACTAAATCCATATTTATTTTCTATTCACAGAAAGTTAAAGACCTAACACCACCTCCATGGGAAAAAAAAAAAAGTTACTTCAACAATATATATCTGTAACAGCAGTAGATCACCATCTGTAAGTAGAAATGTGAACACTGATAGTTGCATGTTTCAGTACTACACCTGTGCCTGAACCACATTCATCTAAATAAACAACACTGAGGTTGACTCTGCAGAACATTTTACCCTGAGTGAACTCTCATGCTTCCTAAACTTGGGACCAGTACTTCCACAGTGCTATATGACTTCCAAAAAATCAAGTTTCATGAGCCTGGCTTTTCCTTTCTCCAAAATACTCACACCTGCCCTTCCTTTCTATCTCCAGGCAGAATAATTATTAATTAATTATACCCTTTTAATTCCTACCTAATTCCAGCCTCATCCACAGGCTTCCTCTCATCCCTGTTCCTCTCATTTCCTTCTGTCATTCCCAACACTTGTATAAACAAATTTTCTGGGGTACTGAGTTTCTCTGCTCTTTTCTCTCAAAAGTGGTTCTTAAAATTACTCTCTGCTTCTTTTTCATCTGTAATAATTATTCCAGACCTCAAGAAAAGCCAGGCTTTTGGCAGATTTTAAAGCATGACACTTAATTTTTGCTACCCCATGGGTAACAATGTTAAACAAAAAAGACTCTTCAGACAAAAAAGCTGGTTTGGTCAGTCTGAGGCTTCTGAATCTTCTGCCTCTGGGTGAGCAGCACTAGAGGGTCTCCCAGGGAAGATGTCCCTATAAGCAGAAGGTGACAATCACAGTTCCAAAGACAACACCCTCCCCTCCACGCTGCCTATGAAGCCTCAAACAGCACCAGGACCTGTCCTGCCCACACGGAAACTCACAGAACTTGGCCACAAAGACACGACCCTTCGTGTCACTCATTGTTTTGAGAGAGAGGTCAGCACACAACCCAGCAGCCTTTCCCTCCTCAAAAATGCAAGCGTTACATTTAGAATTTCACTCCTCGAAGCAAGGCCAGCTCAGTCAGCCTCCTGCTCCTCTGCTCCTTGTCAGAAGCCTGTTTATTTCTCAAATATCCTCGTTCTCCCACCCTCTATCCCCTCCACGGACCCCAGCCTGAAGCTGCCTGCTGAGAGACCTGTGCTGGGCCCTCCCTGAGCCCCCCCACCCTCCGGCGGGAACCACGCCTGCCC